CCTTCTTTTTTTCTTTTCGCTGGTTTGTTTTTTTGGTTGGCTGGAGACTTCTTTTGTTGGTTTGTCAATTCAAGGGAAAAAAAGGGGTAGGGCTCAGATTCATCTCTACGTTCCACAAGGAGATAAAATGAGTAAGCTGCTCTATGTTTCTGTTGCTAGACTAGTAATGTGTTGTTGGTTTGCTTCAATTTTCATTCCTAGAGCTGAATGTTTCTAGTATAAAAAAATGGTGATTTAGCATGTTGGATTTGCTGTGTGAATGATGCGATTACATTACAGAGCGCTATACAATATTCTTATGAAACCCATTATTGTTGTTTTTATGTGCAGAATGAGAATATCAGCAGAGAGGGAGAAAAGTTTTATTTAACTGTTTTGATGTGCAGAATGTTGTGTTGAATTTGATGGGGCTGCTATTTGGAAGGATTATCACTGTTTTTTAAATCATGATTTGTAATAACTATATAATTAAGTACAATAGGCTTGTATTTCTTTGAGAATCATGTTCTATAATAATTATTATTGCTTGCAGGTACTTTTTTTTCGTCTGTTTTTTCTTTACCTCTTTGGGTTGTATGATTAGTGAATGTTTTGTGTTTGATATTAGGGAACTTGAGAATGAACATGTTCGGTGACATGAAGAAAATGATGTTTTATTTTTATGCCTAAACCGGCCGAACCAAACCGCACCAAACCGGATATGAATGGTTTGGTTTGGTTTGGTTTTGATTTTGATTTTAGCTCAAACCGAACCAAACCGGACCGTGAAAGTTTAATTGGTTCAGCTGTGGTTTGAGGGTGAAACCGGACCAAACCGGACCGTGCCCACGCCTACGCGCAGCTATACTATTTTTTTTATAAAAAAAATAGAAAAAAAAGAGTATAGCCGCGCAGCGATACTAGTCGTTTTGAAAAATTAGAAGAAAAAAAAGCAGTATCGCCATGGGGCTATACTATTTCTTTTATAATAAAAAATTGGAGAAAACATACCATTTCTTTAAAACAATTAAAAAAACGAGTAAGGCCGTGCGGCTATACGATTTCTTTTTGAAAAATTAGGGACAACCCGAGTATACTCATTCTTCTTTTAAAAAGGGAAAAAACCCGCTCTTTTATGAAAAAAAAACCGCTCTTTTATTTGAAAAAAAAAAGGGGTAAAAACCGAGGTTTGAATGCTTGATCATGTGCACTTTGAAATTATATGGTTACTCGTTTTTGAATTCCTTTTAGCATATTTTTTACTCTTTGGATGAGGTTTCTGTAGTATTTGCATCAATTGAAGTTATAACTTTTGCAGGAATCGACATTTTAAAGAAGTTTCTGTTGGACAGTGTGGAGCATTGGATCCCACACAAAGAACTCCAAAATGCGCGAGGGTTTGACTTGAATGGACCGGTACCAGGTGGAAGACCTCCTGGGAAGCTCCATCAAGCAAGCCTCAATCAGGTACTGTTCAGTTAGAATTGAATGCTTGTTCACTTGTATTTTAAAACTATGGTTATTGGTTCCTGAATTCATTTAGCTTACTCTTTATAGTGGTCATACGTTTGTTCGGTGGATGATTGTCGTTCCAGCTTCAGAAGAAAGGACCACTTAAATCGTCATCTTCTTCAGCACCGAGGGAAACTCTTTAAAAGTCCGATTGAAAACTGTAATCGTGGATTTGTTTCCCAAGGTAACATGAGGAGGCATGTGAAAGAACTCCACAATGAGGATTGTTTATACCCAAAAAGAACAGTCAATGAGAACAAGACACGTGGAAGAAATTCAGCCTGGTCAGGGAAGCCTTCGGCACCCTACCTACCGATTGCTCCATTAGGGTAACACCCTCTCCCGGGACACGTGGCATGCTCACAAGCGACGTCCATAGTCCCACATCGAAATTATCAACAAAGTGCGCACCTCCCAAGACCTATAAAAGAGGCCAACTACCCCAAAAGAGAGGTAATCAGAACTTACGGCATACAAGCCTATTGATCTGTCAGTGGAACTTTCTAAATCCCGAACTTACTTAAGCATCGGAGAGCCTTCACCCAGTACCACACCGGTGCCCTAGGTCTTACCGAGCGTTTTCTCATATTGCAGATCGCGCTCCCTACCGAGGCATCAAGGATTGGAGGTCAGAAGAAGCATGTATGCCAGGATTGTGGAAAGGTGTTCAAATTTGCATCAAAGCTGCGGAAGCATGAGAATTCTCATGGTAGCTTTCATTTCTGAATTCAATCTTCTTTTTGTATTCTGCCTTGTGTGTGTGCGTCAGTGGTGAATAATGTTGTATGATACAATTTTTTCTGAAAATGGGGGGATGTGCTGTTGTTGAAGTTTTTGGCAGTATGCTTAATGCAAACTCTAAATATGTCCTTTTATTTGTATAGTTAAGCTGGATCACCTGTGAGATATGTGGGACCAAGAAGCTGAGAAGGAACATCGAACGGCATCTCCGCACTCATTAAGTGGAGAGAATTAAATGCAGTTAGTCTTCACACATTTTCAACTGTGAGTTACTGACTTGACTTCCCTTCTACCCATCAATGTCCGTATATGAAACAGCACCAACTGGTATAGCTCTGTATGAGAAGCATTGCCAAACCCATGAATCAGTGTGTGTGAGAGAGAGAGAGAGAGAAAGAGAGATTTCTACACATCGGCCCACTTGGTGTTGATAGACGCCTGTGGTAGATTTCTACATTTCTGATTTCCAATCTTGGTTAAGACTGGCTCTGGAGCCTTATGTTGATGATTCGATTGTGTAGAAAGAAGAGAAGAGAAACACTGTAAATATTTTATAATGGTGCAATACATTCAGGGAGTGCACACACATTAAAAATGTAATACATATTCATCTATATATATATAACGCACCTGAATTAAGCAAACAGAGAGAATATTTCCATTATATGTATTTGTTTATAGAGTATAGTTTTGGTTGGGGACTCAGATGTTGGTAACTAAGTAAAGTCAAGTACTGACTTGGGAGAGAAAGAAGCCACAGAGTTATTATTGGTGGTCATGGACTTTGATCGCTTCATCCAAGCAGATGAACGGGACCGGTGAAACCCGAGCCTTGATGAGTTGTTGGTGAGCACAAGCATTGGCCTCCTTTTGGTGAAATTGCTGCAGCTTCTGGGTTGCCACCACTTTTTGGAGAAGTTGAGACTGTCATGCCACTGCCATGGGAGGCCTGTCTAGTTGATGAAGAATATGTGTGTGAACTAATATGAAAGAAAGAAACTCTCTATTGGCAGAGTTCAGATGCTACTGGTAAGTGGGTTTCTGTTGACTTCTCTTCGCTACGCTATCCATAGAAACTTCTTCCCATCCTTCTCAACATAGCCATTCATGTGCACTCCATAAGCCTATTCCAACAAGAAGTACACATAAAAAATGTTTTAAATGAAAAGTTGCAAGAAAATCAAATGAACAACAATGAAAGAGTTAGCGGGCTTCCTTCCTACGCGACCATTGAAAAAGAGACCAGACTAATTAACCCTTCAATGCTACCACTGAAATTTCTAACCCTACAAAAAATCTTATATTCCTCTCTAGCCAACACTATAGTGCACACAGTGTCACATCCAAAACTTCATTATCAAGCCCTTTCACAGATCCTCCATGTCGATCTAATAACAAACTACGTACAGGCACTGCTAGATACATATATAGCACCAATTAATCCAATGAGTCAGTTGCCATTCATCATATATAGATTAATATAGCCAAAATGACTTGCTAGAGATGCATCAAAAATTGATTATAATTCATTGTTTAATCAGACCAAGGTAAAAAAAGGGTGGCGCAAATCGCAGAAACAAACCTGAGTTAGTCTAGGGTTAATAGTTTATACTGTTCCAACAATTGGGGTGAAATTAGAAGCGCATACGTATAGGAAGGAATAGGATTTGATTAAGTTAGCACAAACAGTAGTTCATTCCTTATACCTGGAATATGTTCCCCTAAGCTTTTGATTACATCTCCCACAGCTCTCATCCTGTACTCAGCGATGAATGCAACCGCCATTAGAGTTTGAATTTTCTAGTGGGAAAGTAAACACGTCCTTGAAACTACGTAAATTCTCAGCAAAACTAGAGATTGAATTGGGAACGACGTCGTAAGCGCCTTGGGGAAAGCACGAAAAGCTTTGTCGGTAAAACGGAAGGCCAAAGACTCTCTGGCAGAGAGCCGTCGAGTTTGTGAGAGTTGAGGAATGCCGCTGCTGCAGCACATGAGAGCTGTTTCGAAAAAAGAAAAAAAAGGAAATTGCAAAAAAATCGGCCTAGGTGAGCGCCTAGACGGGTCTTTTTTTTTCCTAACTTTAAAGAAAACCTGAGTTTTAAAGTCTTTAATCGCTGCGGCCAAACGGTTCGTTTTATTTTCGTAACGGTTCTTTTTTTAAAAAATTTGGGTTGTTGATTGTTGCTGATGTTGATTGATACGCATCAGTTTGACTTGTCATGTGGTGGGCCATGGATTACGTGGTAGGATCTGGGTCGTCCACGGTAGGTCCACTCTCATTTTAGAGTGGACATGGCAAAAAACGAGTACAATCGTGCGGCTATACTATTTTTTAAGACTTGAGAAAACCGAGTATTGCCGTGCGGCTATACTTTTTTTTAAATAAAAAACCATGTCCACTCTAAAAATCAAAGTACAGCCGCGTGGCTATACTATTTAATTACATTATATTTAAATGGTATAGCCGCTCTGCTATACAAATTAATATTAAAAAAATTTGAAAAACGGACCGTTGCATTAGTTTATAATTTATAGATATTAATTTGGTATATATAGTTGTGTGACTATACGAATAAAATACGTACGTGTTTATTTGAAATTTTTTTGAAAAATTACAACTTAAAAGTTCGGCCACTATATAATATTTTTTTATAATTTATTTAAAATTTTAGTATATATTATTTGTATTCAATAATATGTGATAATTATGTGTATAATACGTGAATTTTGTATTTATTATTTAAAATTTTGTAAAACGTACGTGTATTAAACATGAAAAATACGTAAGTACATGTTCAATATGAGTATTGTACGTTTGCTTCTTTTAAAAACGTGAATTTTACCTAGTATTATAATACATGTATTATACATGTACATATGTATTTTTCATGCTTAATACACGTTTTTTTTTTACAAAACTCACGTATTATACACATAATATTCATATATTATTGAATTAAAATAATATATATTTAAATATTTAAATATATTATATAGTGGCCGAACTTTTCAGTTGTAACTAACCAAAATTTTACCGAATAAAACACATATGTATTTTATTCGTATTTTTCCCGGTCTGTATTTTACTAACTATGAATATGAGATGCTAAGATTATTTCTTACTTCTTGTAAAAAAAAATACAAGATGGTGATTTTGCAATCTCTTTGCCAACCAAAACAACAATTTTAAACAAAGTTTTATGAGTATAATAGTAAGAGAGGTGGTAGTATTC